TTCTCCGTAGCCATGACTCTTTCCTTTAATATCGTTGTTCTTCTCACATAGCCAAGAAACTTGAACTGAACAATAATTGTGCCCTTACGGGTTGTAATGGTGAAGCCAACTTTTGGCGAATTAGCCAAATTATTGCTGCAGGTCACTTAGTGACCCGTGGGTCATAGGTTGCCGACCATTGGTATAAACTCTTTCTCACGATCTCTATACCATCAAGCTGATAATTCATCATGCAGTGAAGAATGTCTTGGAAATATTTTCAGTAAACTTAGAATAGAAAATCACTGGCTAGTTGAAGAACAAGATCTTGTGTATAAAAAGTCAAGACTAAAATGCAAGGTCTAACTGGTCAAAAGTTCAGCTGAAAGCAGCAATTAAAGGGCTTGTATCGCATGGCCATGGCTATTAACTATGATTTCAGATAATGATCAATCAACATTTCTCTGGGCTTCATGTGTACCTACACATTATATCACATGTATCTCGAAATCTGAGAACTTCCTGATTCACAAACTTCTACAGGGCTCTGATTGACCAACTACCTGTAGCCATGCTGCTCTTTGTTGTTCCTAATGGACAACTGGAATACATGCTATACTTTTCAACACAGCAGCATTGTTCTCTATACCATTGGTTGCCATACAGACAGTGTCCAGTTCCAGTATGAAGGATGGGGGGTCAAGACTGCAACAGGTTCCTACACATTCTGAATCAGGTTAAGTGACCCTAACCCTTACCTTTGATCGTTAGCCTTCACAAATACTTCTGTTTACTTTCTATAGGGACTTATTTTCCTTTTGTACTAACGTTATTTATAAAATTCTCATCAAATGGATGTTACTTTCTAAAACCTCACCCCACCCCCAGTACACTTACAGCATACATTTTTATGTTTCAACCCTGCTTCTTCTAATAAGTAATGTACAGCAAATATTCAGTACAATTACATGCTTATTAAAAATATTTCAACCTACGTGGCTGAAAAAATCACAGCCAAATAAAACACTGGGTACACCAAATTTATATTTGTTATTAAATTTCACTTGCTATTGATAATTTCACCCACTCATGAATATTTCAATTTGATCCAATTGAGATATATTTATTTGAAACACTAGGTATAACTCTGTTTTCTCTCTCAGATGTAGTGTTAGTCTCTGATACTTATAATTCTTTCATGCAAAGTATTCACTTGTTGAAAATTTCAATGTCAAAATTAAAACATTCTCTTACCAGTGTTAATGAAAATAACAAGTGTGCTATGTTTTTCAATAACAGTTACCAGGTCACAGTTAATTTTATGCTCATCAATTCTTAACATTGTTGTATTCTTTGTGTAATTGATTCATGCATACTATACAACACTCATGAATGACTATGTAACGTTCATATATGTTTGTAAGACCACACACACACACATATATTTAGTTATATCAAATACTCTAGTAGTTTATAACAGATTGCCTTATACTCTCTCATGAACAACTTCAGTAGCCTTCTTGGATTCCTTTGTGAAACTATATTTTGGTAGTGATGATTTTGTCATCTAGGAGTCATCAAACTCAATGCATTTTTTTCAGTTCAGACATTAAAAAAAAAAATCACTAGTAAAATTTGTACAAACTAAGATTCCTAAGTAAATGTCTAATCAACCAGGATTAATATTTGTGCTGTTATTACTGTATCTTAATATACAATCAGAGGAAACACAACTCCCTTGCTTCATGTAGAATCAGCCTACTTCCTAGGTACATAGGAGAATCTAATGAATGCATGACTGCATGCTCTGTGTAGTTCTCATCATTCAGCCAGAAGGACCACTTTAGATTTTGGTGGAGGGGGGGGGGAACTTTAACCCACTGACTGCTGATTTGCCTTATAGGGTACAGTTCATCTTTGGCACTTGAATGGGAGTGTGCTGTATACAGTGTATGGCTCGCAAAAAATTCCACGTGTTTAAAGCAGCCCCAGTCAAAGAGTTAAGTGGCATTGGGTTTTTGCAGATAGGAAATTAAACATCAGTTTATTATGGGTGATTATTTCCTATATATTTTTTTATAAATAATGTTATAACAAAATTACCAAAATAGGACAAACAAGCAACTCTGCCCTACTGTATATATATTTTTTTTAATTTCCCATCTTTGAAAAGTAAGGTCACTTTAGTTTCAAGACTGCCTTAACTTCTGACCAATATGGTAATAATAATAATAATAAAACCACATGATGTTATTATATTTATGTACTTTCATGCTGGCTGTAGGGCAACAAGCATTTATGTTGTAGGAACATCAGCTGATTTTTGAGAGGAGTTTTGAGAGTTAAATTAAGGTTTTTAAGCAGTAAATGGATGGGGGGTATTATAAAATGAACCAGATGCTGCCCGAAGCTTGTCAGTGGGTTTTAAACCTTGTGGAAGTAATGGAATAAAGATGAAACTGAATAATGACCTTTGTGTAACACGAAATGTCATTAAGTAGCTAATAGTTTACATGTTATCATAAAATTTATAACACTATGGATTATACTTTGTTCCCCAAATGCTTTCCTCTTTCTGATTGTAGATGTTCTTATTAGTGATAAAACAAGACAGATAAATCAAGTTTTTTTTTTTTTTACATACTGTGGAAGACAGTGTTGATGCAGTATCCATTCGCCTTAGCAAAATAATTTTTAAAGCAACAATCTACTTTGTCATCAAAGCTTAACCAGAGTAAAATAATTTGTCAAATGATCACACATATAGTTCATGAGAGTTGCTAAACAGTTTTTACCTTCCACATGAAGGATAGAAAATTATGTCCTAAACATCAATTCTTCCACTTTATGGTCTGTTGAAACAAGCTCATGCTCATAAGCTAGTCAGAATTGTGCTCACAAACTTACCACTGAGTCAGAGTAGTAGAGATTATGGAACTTGCAGGCACAGGATGGGAAACTGTTAAATGAAAGCAGCTGCACAAATGATACACTGTAGATATGTGTATTGCTTCTAAAATTAATGACAGCAGGAGTGAATAGACGTAATACTCAGTACATCAACAGTTTGTACAGCAAAAGATGGTAGCTAGGAGGTCGAAAACTTGGTTCAAAGGGCATTGTGACCTTTATTTTCTGAGCTATCAGATGATTTTTTTTTATGTTTAATATAAGTTGTACATTTTTGTTATTGCAAAAAATCAGTGACTCAATGGACATTGTGACACTTGCTTCCTGGGCCAATGAGTGAATTTTTTGGCTAAGTACAAGGGGACTTGTTCGGAAGAGGCAGGAGGCAATTGCTCTTCCCTCTGTATTTCATACCACTTTCAGCTTCCACTGACCAAGTAGTAATCATATGGTTTAGTGTATACACAGTATTTCACATCACCAATAAATAGCTTGGAGTAAGGGTAACAAAGCCCTTTCAGCCCTTGGCTTCTCGACCAAACAACTATCCTAACTGTTTTAATCAAGTTAAAATTGAATATTGTAGTGCATACATTGTATTGTGAATATCACTTGATAGCTTGAAAGCGTAGCTCATTATTTCCTTTCTATCACTGACTGCTCAACCTGATGACTGTCTTAACTGCTAAATAATGTGATATCACCCAATTTTTGGCAGATACCTTACTTAGTGAAAGCCTCCTGGATAGATTGGAAAGCAGGGGTCACAAGTACTGTGAGTCATCAGTCATTCACCCTAATGATTGTTCTAGCTTGTGAAGTTCATTGATCAATTCTACCAATATCAATTAGAAGTCAACATCAGTGGCTAAACTGAAGGTTGGAGCTGCCTTTCATTTCTGTCTCCAATGACTTCTCATCTGGCTCATCATGGCCAGCCAATTAAGAATCTTCATCTCTTTCTCTGTTGTCATTATGACTCAAGATGGCATACTCATCCTCCTCTGACTTGTCAGTTTCATTGTCAAATTCCTGGTTGAACAGCTTATTGACGTGTTCAATGTGTTTTCATGCAACATGTATGCTGTTACTTATACATTAATGGAATAATTTGCCAGAGTATCATCTATGCATCAATGTAGCTGGATTCAAATTGCTTCCATGCTGCTAGCATGTACCACAACCATATACAATCTCTGCAATGGACAATAAATTCCTTTACCATCTTGTTGTAGCATTTCTTCTGTTTTTGAACACCTTTTCTAATTGTTGTCAGGCAAATCTATGTACATCAACTACTAAATACCCTAACATATTCCTGTGAACATTTATGGACAATCTTCTCATTTGCAAACAAAACATCACATCAACTGGGGGTAGTATTTCCAGTCTGAACATGAGCATGTTTGATGAACAACCTGTAAATCCCTTCACCATTGCTCTTTATACCATCATAATGTATGGCAAGTGTTCATCCCAGTCAATTTGGCTGGCATTAATAAGCTTCCAAAGTATTCACTTGGTAGGCTGTGTCACCTGTTCTGCCAAACCACCAGACTGACGGTGATAAGGTGAAGTGTGTATCTTCACCATAACTAACATTTTACACAACTCAGTGAACAGTTAACTGTTGAAAGTAACTTTCTGATCCATATGGAAGTCTTTCTGTGCTTCAAACTGTGCTATCCAGTTCTCTACCAACATGCGTGACAGACTGTGCCAATGTATAGCCTTACGGATAAGCCTCAGCTCACTTCGTGAAATAGTCTCTCCTGACACATATCTGTTGAACTATTCACATCAATAACCAAGCAGAATTGTATATATATATATATATATTAATAATGACTAAAACCAATGCTCTATTCTAAACAAGAAATCTTGGTTTTACTCATAACACACAAGATGTTCTTTTACAACATACAAAGGCTGTAACCTCTAGATATTATCTACTTGTCCAATGAAGTTGTAGCAGGCAAAGTAAATAATACCTCCGAGAGAACGATAAATAAACAAACTGGATAACGTGTATATATCAAAACTGCTTAGATCTAGGATAAAATAAATATTAAAAAATCCTTTATTAATAAAAAATGGCAAATATATCTCTGCCCACTTATCACAATAGTATTGGTTTTTGTTAAGTAGGTAGCTATTCCAACCACATATCATGGCAAAGAAATTAAGAAATTTACCAATCATCAGTGTGATATCCTCACTTTCTGCACAAGTCTTTTCAAAGTCTTCAAATGAATCAAATACTTGGTTACTACATATTTTAACCAAGACTTCTGTTGTAGGCCAACTAACAAAAAGAGATGAAAAGTAAATTAATTAGTTACTTTTTATATCTAATATTATACAAGAAAATAAATCTATGATGTCTTGAAATACACTTTCAAGTTTGAAAGTTCCTACAGTATATTTGTTTATAATTTTTTTCTTTTATCAATAAATAAATGATAACTAAGCATTACCTTAAAAGGCAAGAATGATTAAAAGTATCACACATATTAGTAAACATACAGCTTCTTCTGTAAATAGTTTTATGATAACACTTTATAAACATTTATAAATGTTGTTATAAAATTAAATAAAATTCTGAATTAAATGAAATATTAGCACAGGTGTAGTTGAGCAATGACTCTAATTCACTCATTATCTTTGAAAAAAAACAAAAACAGTTCAAGTGTATTATAAACTAAACAATACAGGGTTCATATGAATCATCCCAATCAATGAACATGGGAAACATGTATAAAGAGAAACTTTATGATACACAAGTTACTCCTTTCTCATTCTCATAAAGCCCAGCAATCTATTTTTAACTAAAACTATTATTGGTAAAATTAATACCTACTAAAAATGTCAGTCATTTCCTTTTTTCCAGTCACTTAAACACGCTAGCAAACTATTCCTTATGTTTTTTTCATAAATTATGTAATTCTCTACAAATGTACACAAATGCTGTCCCTAATTTTGAGCTAACAAGCTAAAGTTAAGGCAGCTAGTCAACAACACTCCCCAAGGTGCACGGTGCATTTTTGTGGCAATGGGATGTGAACTATGAACCTTCAAATTCACAGTCAGAGCAAAAAGTTCTTTCAAAGACATAATGTTTTTGAATAGTATGGAAGAAACATACACGGTTGAAATCACCTTTGCAGGTTTACATCCATTGTTTTCAAGCAGGATCTGAAGGAATTTGTTTTCACTCGCATTTTGGGAATTGGTTATCTCAACAGATTCACTAGCAAAATCTGAATGAGTAGACTGGAAATGTGTGAATTTTTTCTGAGCATCTGCTAGAAAGTCTGAAATAAACTTAAACACTTATTATTCAGTTTTGAACTCAGTGTAATCAGTTAAGTTACTATAAAGTTTCATAATATAATAATATTAATAATGGCAATTGCTGATGTAAAACGTTGTATTACATAAGTGTAAATAAATTACATGAAAGAGAAAAATAATACACTGGATACTTATAATAAAAGCACTTATTTTAACCAGTCAATGAGATCATTACTGTATTTTCTATTACAAATGGCTCCTATGCATTGTATTGTATGAAATAGAAAAAAAGACAAGTGTCCACAATACTCAAAACATTTCCCACTATGTCACATAAAAAATTAATGAGATGTAGATCAATGAAAATAGATTAAGAGAATGGTAATGAGGTTTTAGAAGCCATAATACTTGCATATTGAAAACAAAGCTGCTAAGTGTATCACATAAAGTGTTTGTGTGCCCTCTATTAACAAACCTCAGAGCTGATCGAAACCAATCTTTTTTCTAAAAAAAACCTGTGAGGGTTATGTTTATATCACACTGTTAAACCACACAAAATCCTAGATTATCTAGTTCAGGTGCCATTCCTATTACATACATCCAATGGGATATAAACTCACAACTCACACCAGGGGGAAGTAATTGAACAGAAGCATTACCAAACAAGTATAAGCTCTACGGAATGGCTAGTGTGGTATGTAACCTTAGTCTGAGGTAAGGGTTAATGCAAAGATATTAACTCTTTCATACAGCTGCGTCAAACTTTGCATGTCATGACCTTTTTATAGTGTTACATTCAAAATTCAATTTAACTACTTTGTTATCAATATATATATCAATTCACTTGGAATAAAAATGTAGTTTACAATTTAAATTTTTACATTATCTGAGTTTTAAATTCTTAATTTCAAAGAGAAATGTTAAAAACTATTAATCTTCATTTTTATGTGTCACCTGTTGCCCCCCCTTCAAAATTTTTTAACGTCAAATATAGGCTGCTATAAGCTATATGTAATTACAAGCACAAATGTAAAATTTGCACCTCCTATCTTCTTGATTCATTGAGATATCAATACATTTGTCACACCCACCAGAGAAGCCCCTACCATCTCACTCTGACTTTCAACATTGATTGCTAATCAGCTTTACATGGTTGGTGAATATGTTTACAACCAACAAGAAAAGCAGTTAAAATGAGGTTTCTAGGATCTCAAATGTAGGAAAAGGGGCCAAAGCCAAGCTCAGCCCTACAAATGAAAAAAACAAACAAAAAAAACACGAAAACATCAGCAATGTAACGATGTAAAAATTTTAAGTCCCACACTGACGAAAACAAAATTCAGATATTATCAGTAGTAATTACACGTAACATACAAGCTATAGAAACATACCCAGTTAACAAAGGACTGATAAATATCAAATGGACAAGGCATCTATATTTATCTAGTCCACAAAATATGTAATAATAATGAAGGTGCTAACTAACTAAAATTACCTAGAAAATACCTTAATAACCAATATCTAACTTACCAATCATCTAAACTAACTCTCTTAACACTGGCTCGGTCATTTTGACTAGCCACGTGACCTTTTTGTACTTCTTTAAAGTTTTTATAGATTTAATACTTCTAACTTTCAATATAGTGGGTACATCTTCACAAAATTTGGCAGTCTTTCAGTTAATATTATAAGTCTTTTACATACAAAAAAATCACATTTTTTACTGAAGTATTTTAATAAAAAATAAAGGTTTGTCCATGAATATATATTGAGTAATTGTTTTGAATAGTCCATGTGCAAAGTAATTTTCAAGTTAAAATTAAAAATACTTTTCCTCATCTCAAAATTCCTTTGTGCAATCCCTAAACCCTCCTAAATGTATTTCAAACTTTTTTTTTTCAGTAAAACTTTATAGTTTATCTGTTATTTTCTCTACTCTATCTCAAAATAGAATCGATCAACTAAACCAACCTCATAACCACAAAAAAAAAAATCGAAATAAACCTAAATTACCCATTTTTTCTTTGTAGAATGACTTCAAATTGTAGCATGAAACAACATTCGTTTATCCTAAGTAGCTCTAGGTTCATAACAGTATACATCTATGTATAATTAAATTTTATTGTTTTATTGCCCTTTGAACCATGTCTAACTACTATCCGCACCATTATAAGTTGTAAATCACTCAAGGTACGTGCAGCTCACATTACGCCATTGAATTACATTATCCACGAGCTGCTCGCATGTGTGACTCATGAAACATTTTTATTATAATATCATTATTACTTATTTTACCTAATCTATTGTTAACCTAAAAGGATCCCTACTTTTACAATTTAGTTAATTTTATAATTATACATAAAGAATAAACATTAAAAACAAGAAATAAAATACCTACCTAATCTTCTTTTTCTTGATGTCGGGTTTCGAGGAGAGTTAACCCCAATTTTTTATACTATAGATAGTAATGCACTTAATAAT